TGTGATTTGTATTCGTTATTGATCGCATATTACATTACTGTAGTTACTGTAGTCACTGTAGTCATTGTAGTCACTGTAGTCACTGGTCACTGTAGTCACTAGTTACTGTAGTTACTGTAATTGCTATAGTAGTTACTGTAGTTACATGCTATATACTGTATTATTAAATTATTAAATTATCGTTATATAATTATTTATTATATATTTGATATCGATATGTATGTATTATTATATTATAAATATATTATGTATCGAATTATATATTAATTATATTTCGATTATATATCAATTATAATATATCGATAACTATAATATATCGATTATAAAAAAAAAACCCCCAATTTATCTAAATTTTTATTAATTTCTAACAGAATGAAATGTAATTGGTTCATTTACAAAATTAAACAGGAAAAAAAAATGAAAAAGATAGGTTTATCTCATCTTTACCCGGCTTCAAATATCTATTCAAATTCGGGTAATTTGGTATTCGTTAGGCTTAGAACCGTTTTCTTTCTACTACCATTCCGAGGTTGGCTTCTACCAATCCCCTAAGCGATAAAACTGCGCCGAAATGTGAAAACTTGAATTTTGCTGTCGTAAACCGGTTTACAGTTGTTCATCATTCCACGTGACATATTTACATGCATGTTATATTACTATTATTATTTCTTATCTATGCCCGCACCCTCCGTTGCAATAATTTCTCCCGGTCATGTACAACACAGTGCTTCTGTTTCGGTAAACATTCATGGGAGTAACGACCCTTTTTTGACCTATTTCTCCGATTCTCAAGTTTTATCTCTGTACATTTCCACTTAACATTGCACTTAAAACATTGCATTAAACAGCAATTTATACAATGATTTTTATATAATGAATTTTTACAATGAATTTATACAATGAATTGTCGTGTATACCGTGCATACTTTCATACTCTCTGTATACGTGCTTATACGGTTTAGACGTGTGTATACCGTGTATACTTGTGTCATATGTATCAATTTTTTGTGACATTTCGGCTTCTCAAAGATTCGTCAAATGAATCATAGTCATCCGAAACTAAAAAATTTTTGGGTTCGTTATGCTCCAAAGCATCAAACCGTGTAATCGTGTAACCTCCCCATTATCCAATACTATAATTCTATACGTAATATATAATTCCCAGAGAACAATTCCGAACAATCCGTAAAGCTTAACTGATAAAAAGTATATAGTAAATACGTTTAAGACCTTTAATATCACCTAACAAGTATGTAATTATTACCTTTCCTGGTTTAGTAATTTTTTTATAATAATAAAATAATAAAATAATATAAAAATAAAAATAAAAATAAACAGAATTATCCCCATTCCTTTTTTTCCCCGCCCTCTTTCGTTTTTGTGTTGCCTCTAAAAAAAAAAAAAAAAAAAATTCATTATCACACTTGAATATATATATATATATATATATTTATATATATATTTATATATTTATATATTTTTTTTTATTTATTAAATACTTAATTTGTTTTAATTTGCTCTGAGGTTAAAAAAAAAAAAAAAAATTTTTTTTTTTTTACTGTTTTTTTTATGCTGTTAAACTTAAAAAAAAAAAAAAATTTTTTTTTTAACCGTTGCATATATTTTATGAACTACGCATACACAATAACAATTTAATCATCCGAAATCAACAAATAAATTTCCTTGATTGATTGCATTGTGGTATAAATACATAAAAGTTGTAAATTTTTGAGTTCCTGCTCTCTGAACCCGAGTTTGCAAGTTTTATGTCGTCGACTTGAACATTGAAAATATAAAAAGCTTTACAAGGTAATATATTAAAAGTACACATGGAAACTAAAACATCTTTCTTCTTTCATCATCCTCTTATGTAAAAGATTGATTCTTGTCCGTGTATCCATCTGTACTATTATAATTCGTTTTTTTTAATATAAACAACCCGCTAAAAACCTGTCCTCCCCCCGCTTTCATTTTTTTCTTTGCACGACAAAAATATTTTTTTTTCTATATTTATATCTTAACGACAAACAAAAGATTTTTATTTTTTTATTTTTTGACCAAAGACTTTTTCTTAAACAACTTGCAATATTAATTTTCTGTTGCTTTTTTAATCATTATGACAACTCCCACAACTCAATTCAACCTACCGTCTCTCGATTCTGCTTATAATTTTTCTGCGATTCAACAACAATATCTAGTACCTTCTCCACCGTCTCCACATTCTCCTCAGCAAGTTACTGTAACAGCTGCTGCTCTTGCTTCTTACGTACAAGCTTATAATAGTCCTCCTCAACAACAACAAGAAGTTTATTCTCCTCAACATTCAATTCATACTACTGATTTATACGCTACTGCTTATCCCTCACCGCGTGTTGACGATTCTTCAAATAACAGTGTAATGATGGCTGATAGTTCTCCGAGTTCTTCTCCTCCTTCTTTCGCTGGTGATAATAAGCCCGTGATTAATGGTGGTGATGGTTATCCTTCGAATTCGGCGTATGTATCAATCTTTCAATTTTTTTTCAAAATACTTTCTCAAAATACCTTAAAAAAAAAAAAAAATCCTTGAGATCTTTCCCTTTCCCCCTTTTTATTATTCTTTTAAATATTATCATCAAATCTTTCATCAAATCTTGTCATTAAATCTTGTTATTAAATATTATCATCAATTCTTGTCGTCAAACCTTGTCATCAAATTTTGTCATCAAATATTATCATCAAATCTTGTCGCTAAATATTCTAGTCATCATCAATTTTATTCTTTCACCTCACATTTTTCATATTACTCACATTACTCATATTACCTTCAATTCGATTAGGTTTAACACGGCCCCTTACCCGTCGACCTCAACCCCGTCGTTTTCTAATGGTATGCAATGATTATAAAATATTGATGTTGGTGTTGTCTCATCATCTATCCTTAATCTTTCTTTTGTCTCATGATACTAAAATTCTTAATTTATCTGTTTCATCAGAGTCTTCCTCTGCTAACAGTTCTCCCGAACAATGGAGTAATGGTACCGCACCTTTTCCTTTCGGTTCTTACACAAAACAACAACCAAAAGGTTTCGATGAACGTGCTATAGATCCTGCTTTCTTCACAGATCCTTCCATGATTAAACCTTCTGGCCCGAACACCGCTACCCCGATCGCTTATTATCCTCCGGTGAGTTACGATCGAACTGGTATTCCTCATCACCCTGCGAATTACCAAACACAACAGGACTATCCGGTAATGGCTGGTCGATATAACAATGGTACTATAACCGTCATGCCATCCGTAAATGGTAACGGCACGTCCTCCAAATCACAGTCCCAACAAAATCCACCAAGACCTCCTCCGGTTCCTGCTCCTCAAGCCATGATGACCACCTTCAGTTCAAAGACCGTATCATCCACTCCAAAAAGATACAAGTGTAATATCTGCCAGAAAAGGTTCACTAGACCAAGCTCATTACAGACTCACACATATAGTCATACCGGTGAAAAACGTATGTTGGTTTTTTTTTGTGATCTATTATTTCCTTATTGTTTCCTTATTGCATTATTGCATTAATCTATTAATTCTTCATCCTTATTGTTTCCTTATTGCTTCCTTATTGCTTCCTTATTGCATTATTGCATTAATCTATTTGATTCTTCATCCTTATTTCCTCTCCTTATTTCCTCTCCTTTATTTACACTAACCCTTAAACTACTTTCCGGTGTTATTGTCATTTATTACTTTATATATTGTCTTTGTATATTATTTTTATATATTATCTTTGTATATATTTGTACATACATATTAACGATTATTCTCCATATTTTCAATTTTTCATTCTTATTAATTTCCATTCATATTGTTCATATTGGTTTTAGCATTCAAATGCCCAGTTGAAGGCTGTGGTAGCCATTTCTCGGTCGTAAGTAACCTTCGTCGCCACCAAAAGATTCATGCAAACCAGCCCAGCTCTTCATCCTAAAAAAAAGAAAAATATATATTACCATTTTTGGATTTCTTGGCAAAAAGGTGTCGCAAAATTTTTTTTTAAATTCTAGCCTTTGTAATGAACAATGACATCTTTGTATTTAGCTTAAAAATTCCGTGTTATTACTTTATAGCATTTATCAAAATTCCTTTTCTTTCGTTGCTTTCTAAATGACTTATATATATATTCCGTTATCTCATTCAGAAAGCATACATAATGCGAAAAAGTAAATACCCATTTTCAAGCTATATATACATAGCCTTAACCCGCTTAACATTTTGTTTCCCATCATTCACACTGTATATGCTGTATGTAATTTCGTCAAATTAAATTAGATTTTTTTTACATTTTTTTTT